ATATATATATATATATATATAATATATATCTATATAGAGAGAGAGAGAGAGATAGAGAGAGAGGGGGCAGAGGGGGGGGGGAGAGAGCAAAACAGAAAGAGAATGACAGGGAAAGGTACAGAGAGAGACAGAGTGAGACTAGCAGTCGAGGCAGATGTATGAATCTATAAGCTGCTATAGCAGGTGTACGAACAAACTCTTAGTTTTAATAATATTCAATGCTAAAACCCTCCTCACCATTCCTGAACATAGAGGGAGTCGATCTCACATTCCTGGCCATCCCCATTGCGAAAGAATTCGGAAAGCTTTTCTTTCTCTGCCTCCAGTCTCTCCTAACAAAACCAACAAAGCGACGTACCACTAGTTACAATTAAGCTTAATTAATTATAATTAAAATGATTACATTTATAATTAGTTGCCATTAAATTAATTAAATAACACAGTTATATTATCAATTTATCAAGAGTAAAATAGCAGCCTAAAGAATATTATATTATTATTGTGTTATAGCACTAGGAAACCCAATTAGCCACTAAAAAATCCTTTCCTGCATTCCCTACAGACTACTAGCGCCACCTTGTGTGAAAATCACGTACTCGTTCGACATTGCCTGGATGCACCACGATTATCGCCATGAGATTGCCTGATTGGTTCGATCGGACGACGATGTCTCGCCAGAACCCGCCATCTGTCACCAGGTGGCAGGCCGGTAGCGACGAATCTCTTATGTATCGTTCGTACGCCTGCAAATGGTTGTTGGGATTAGATCCGCACTCTGTTTCGTGTTAACCAGCAGACACTTTGCCGTCGCTATGTTCGCTATTGTTTCTCGCGGCAACGATTGCATCGTGTGAGCGCATCACGACCAATGACACACTTCGCCCACATGAGGATGAAATCTCTACCAGATGTGTAAGATTATCTGGTTTCAAGTGAAACCACCGAATCCAATAATCGAAAGAAATCCACACCATCGCCCAAAGCAAAACTGCATCAAACCCAAAACCCAACACCAAAAAAACGGGGAAAAGANTCTTACTTTGTAATTTATAATATAGTATTAACAGTTCGAAATTAGGCAACGAAACTTGAAAGAACATAGAAGAAGCACAATTATTTAATTTTAAAGTTATTTACTTGTCCTTAACAAAGTTGAAGCGATGGTAAAAAACGATGTAAAATTGCTTCTAGAAAAGCTGCTTGTCCAGCGGACAACACTATCATGGACAGGTCTACTTAGTCCTCCGTGGAACATGGACAAGTGAGGAACAAACGGATAGCCTTTATTCGAACACTGTATACATACTGATGTTCTCCGACGTAAGAACTTAACATTTATCGTATAGGTTAATGCTGGTTTAATAACTCAACAACAGGTTACAACTCCCCCCCTAAAACACCGGGCATATACAGCCAGACGAGGCTGGAGGCTGCAATAACGTCTACGCTAGCTCGCCGTGCGTAGGCAAGTGCGCAGCACAAAGAACCGTTACGCCACTACGGACTGCTGCGTTTGTCGAATGAACTTAGCTGACTCGAAGCCCATTTATGCAGACAGCTTGTGCGTGATAAATCAGCCTATTAATAACATAGCGTGATTCGTATACTTTCTCCGCTTCTACATTTGGTCGAATCCAACTTATCCCGGCATTCTAGACCCTGTAGACAATTGGGCGCCGTCCACCCTCCTTCAGCGGTAGCGACGTTCTCGAAGCCCTCCGTGTCTGCGCCCGGCGGGCGTCCCCCGATGCGACTTGTGCGAGGGGAGACTTCGCGTATGCACGTACGGACATTTGTAGGCCGTTAGCGTCCCAGCTGTAACAAGAGGGCGTGTACGTGAGCACGTAACATCGTGCTTTCGCGGTGTACAGGTCACTCATCTGTGACCTAAACCAGCGAACGCTGCTTAATAACGAAAACAATGCCCAAGCTATGACAAAAGAAGCGAGAGACGGCCGCCTCGTGCATCTGGGAGTCCGAGCCATATGGAATAAGTGACTTTCATTCTTTATGTGTATTTTCATTTAGAGCTAAGAATTGTTTATACAAATGTTTCTGCGAATGTTAATAATTATATGCACAGAACCGGTACTGACTGGAGAGTGATATCTGCTCCTGGCGGATGAGATTACCGCACGTGTGTTATCTATAAGCCACTCGTCAGGCTTCCGTGTAGAGTTACGCAAAGGTTACGTGAAATTTTAGCTTGATGAATCGCACCTAATACGGGCTCGCTTCCGCGGAGGGCAGAGTTCGTTACTTCTATAGATTCACCTCAGAGTACCCGCTGTGTTGAGAGAGCACAACTAAGCAACGTCGATTCTGAGTGTACATATACGAGGTATCCGGCAAGAGATTTGGCTAGGCTAGCTGAATGCAATATACCTCCGCGTGCGTGACCTAGACTAATGCGTTCAGACACTCTACATGAGGAAACGATGCGTTGCCGTTTTCACAAGCATACAGAGGGTCACAATACTGCACTCATGTCCAAACCCACAACTCTACAGTAGCCACTATACGAGGTAGAGACGGAAAGAGAGGAGATTATACCCCTCAATAATATGCAAAACATACGTTATGACGTTGACGCTCATTTAGTCTATGCACGTAACACGCCCGCGGACCGGAATATTGGGTGCGGCGGAACTGTCCATAAAAACTCTCGGCGAGTGGTTAGTCAGGTACAGAGCAGATCAACGGGTTTGAAAAGACACGTGAACCAACCTGCAACGCCAAATAAAAAATTGAGCTCATATATATAAACGTTCTGCCGCAGTGTGGTGAAGGCGAGGTTAACGCCTACACAAGCGGGAGTACCTCCTGATCCCGAACCTGTCGTGGGACGCCCGCGTAACCGAGCGAACGTCGCTACCCTGAACGAGTGAGACGCGCCCAGATTTTCTACAGGTCGTAGAATGCCGGATACAGTGGTTCCCCAAATTAGAAGGGAAGAAGTGATAGCGAATTCACGCTATGTATTAAGTTGTTTTCACGGCACAAGCTGTCTGCATAAATTGGCTTGGAGTGCAGTAAGATCATTCGACAACGCAGCAAGGTGTGGAGTTAGACGCGAGAGAGATCTCTTTCTGCTGGCACTTGCTAGCAGCGCGAGACTAAACGCGTAGACACGTTTGGTGGCAGCTATATTGGGTCTAAAATTTAATTTGATTAAATGTATTACACATATACTATATTTCTATGTTATTAATCAGGACAAGCCAACATTTTTCAAGACAAGCAAAAATATATTGTAGCTTGTCCGTCGGACAAGCAAAATTTTTCCCTTATTTCGAACACTGGTATATATATATATTTGATAAAATATCATACTATATAAATATTATGAAAATTTACATAAATAAAATAAAAATACATAACACACGACATGTGATATCTACAGGCGCGTTGCACGATTCACGCAAGATCGCAAATCAGCCTCAACTTTAAAGATGCGTCGGACCCGCCACGCGCGTTAAAGCCCCCCCGGGGGAGAACCCCCAATAAAGAGGGCATTTCTTTCACAAATATCGTTTAACACTCTGACTGCCAAAGATGCAGATTTCCGTCTTTGGTAAGAAATCGCTTGACTGCCAAAGACGGAAGTTTCCGTCAATCGAATTAAATTTAATTAATTTAATTCAATTATCTTGTCTTTTTTATATCAATAAACATTTGGTACCATTAGAAAGTTTGAGTCTTGTTCTTCTATATGCTATATCACAAGAGGTTATTTGCCTATTGAATAATTATCTCAATTTTGTTAGAATATTTGAAAAAGGCAGTTCTAAAACCTCTGGCGGTGGCAGTTACTTTCGTGCATAAGGCCTGGCAGTCGAAGTGTTAATACCAGGGGGGGGGGGAATTCAGTACACTGCAAACATAATTGCTTTCGTGACTGGGCTTCAACACTAGTGAATCCCTCGCGATGGGCCTGCCCGCATACCGAGGGCTTGACCTCCTCCAGCAGGTCAAGGACGCTATCATCGCCGAGGATGCGCGCGACCTTGCTGAGCGCGTCCATGTTCTTGCCGCGCTTCGCCGCCAGCTGCTCGATGTAGGGGAGCCGGTGCAGCGGCGTGACGGTGTCTGCTACCCTGCAGCAACAACAGACAGACAG